TATACTTAATCTGAGTTGAGACCAGTGGTTCTCAACCTTCCTAATGCTGCAACCCTTTAATACAGTTCCTCATGTTGTGGTGACCCCAAACCATAAAATTATTTTCATTACTAGTTCTTAACTAATTTTGCTACTGTTATGAATTGCTACTTCTTAACTAATTTTGCTACTGTTATGAAATGAAAAGTATTTTCATTCCTACTTCTTAACTAATTTGCTACTGTTATGAATTTTGCTAGTTATGAATATGTTATGAACCCCTGTAAAAGGGTTGTTCGACCCCCAAAGGGGTCATAACTCACAGATTGAGAACTGCTGCTCTAGATGGATTTGGGGCTCCCATTGTCCTTCATTGCCTTCTACAAATTGGTGTTCACAATTTAAGTTCTTATGTATTTCCTTTCGTCATATTTGGATTTTGTTATCATCATCTTTGGATCACACAGATGTGTGTTCGTCTTCTGTATGGACTCAGTTACATGGCTCCTTATTTAAATACAAGCCTATAAGACCCCAGGCACTATTCCAAATGCTAGCTGGGGTCCATCTGCTTTGTTCACCACACTTGGCTGTAGCACCTGTGTCTTCAGTGATCTCTTCATGGAGGCGTGTATTGAGCAGGGTCATGTTATCAGAACTAACTGGTTTTGGATTGGGACTAGAATGAAGTGGGAGCCCAGAATCTGTCTGATTGTCCCTGACAGCAAAACAACAGCAAACACAAAAGAAAAACCTTTTCAGTCATCACCTGGGGTATTAGATACTATCAATAATGTAACCGGTAGCATAGCATTTTAGGTACTATTGAGATAAGGAGTTCATTCGAGTATAGTCCAGTTGAGAACTGCAATTCAAGTGTTGCGACTTTATACAGATTGAATTCTTAAATGGTTGAGCTGCGTTTACATTGAGCATGGAGGTTGGTGCTAGGGGAAATTTTACTGTAACATTCCTTGCCTACCAAATTAGTACCTGTCACATTAATGCAAGGGGAGCATTGAAATAGTAAATATATTGCGGTTCTGGGTCCCCTTTCATTTGATGGCCACTAAGTCAGTGGTTCCACTCACGGCCCAATGACTGCTATTTCCACAGTCAAGGAGTGGCCATGATTTGCTTCCTCTGCCATCAGGGAATTTCAATTCTCAGTCCAAGGGCTACAGGTAGTTTTGAATTATGGACCAACTTGTTTTGTCTGGCTTCCACGTCAAGTCCTTCTGATGTGGCCCTCAGTCCTCAGTTTCTTCATCATTGCCTTTAGTGACTAGTACACCTTTTAGATGTATAGATGTTATCCTATCACTGATAGTGGTGTCCTTCTGGATAGATTCTGAAATCTTCCTTTTGATGATGAGTGTACCGTATATACTTTAGTATAAGCCAAGTTTCTCAGCACACTTTTAATGATCCTGTCCAGAGTCCATGAGTGTTGCAAATGGCTAATGTATGCAGTTGCTAACCACTAGATGGGAAACGCAAATTTTTCCATAGATGCCTCAGAAAAAAGACTTGGGATATACATCTGAAAAGTCAACAATTAAAATCCTTATGGAATACAGTTCTACTCTGACAGAGTCAAATGGACTCCACAGTGATTGTTTGTTTATTAATCTAGTTTAACACTCCACATTTTGTAGTAGAAGAAATTTACCAAAGAGCCCTGGTGACAGCTATAGCTATCTCTGTCAGGTATAGGTGCACTTCCTGAGTAAGGCAGCCACATTCTTGGTTCATCTCCCAAAGGAATCCTTTGAATCTATTCACTTATATATATATAAACTATGTTCAGGATGTCTTGTCATTTATTGTACTTTGACAGTGTGCCAGGAGCTCTTCTAAGAACTTTACATGAATTATTTTATTTAATCCACAGAACAACCTCATGACAGAACTTTTATCTACCCCATTTTAGAAACAAAACAGTTATATAAAGGGCTTGCAAGATTGATAAGCACGGGTTATTTATTTATTTATAACCATTTTCTTGATATATAATTCAGTGGTTTAAATATATTAAAAAGATTTGTACAGTCATCCCACATTCAATTTTAGAACTTATTTTTATTCTTGTGCTCATTATTATGGTTCTCATTTTCCCTTAACCTCCCCTCTCATAATCTTAAAAAACTATTAATTCAATTTTTATCTCTAGATTTATGCATTGGGTTTCCTATAAAATCAAACAAAACCCTCAATAACAACAACAAAATCAGATAGAGAGAGGCATCATCTGAAAGCAGAAAACAATATAAACTGGAACAAATTTTAAATGATTCAAAGGGGAAAACATATGATAAGGTGTTAAATTTCAAGTTAACTATATCTGCATTAATCTGCTTTCCAGTACGTCCTGTCTGAGAACAAAGCTATTTACAACCTAGGTCAATGGATAGAGGGAATTCGCTGGAGGCTTAATCCAGGTGGGGTCTTTGCAAATGGACTTTGGGATTTTGCGGTTCTCTATAACCATTGGCAAACATGGTGCTCAGAATTTAAACTCTAATATAATTCCCTCCTCTGGTTTTGAATTTTATTATCTACAGTCCTTGAATCACACAGGCTAGTGTGCTTCTTCCATGTGGACTTGGCTGCCACCTTAGATCAGGCACCCTCAAACTACAGCCCGCGGGCCACATGTGGCCTGCCGAGGACATTTATCCGGCCTGCCTGGTGTTTTTGCCCCGTTTGTTTTTTTACTTCAAAATAAGATATGTACAGTGTACATAGGAATTTGTTCATAGTTTTTTTAAAAACCATAGTCCGGCCCACCAATGGTTCTGAGGGACAGTGAAATGTTTTAAGAGTTTGAGGACCCCTGCCTTAGATGATTGCTTGCTTGCTTTAAGTCAAGCTTTTAAGACCCCAGATGCTATTCTTTCTGATAACCAGGCATTGTCTTTTTTTACCACACTCCACCCACCGTACCTTCAGCGGGAATGCATGAAGTTTGAGTTCATGTGGTCTCTGAAACTTTAAACCTGCCCCTACTCATATTTAACATTTCCCCTCTAATTAAACCTGGCTGGAATCAAACTTGCAGTTTTGTATTTGTGATTAATGTGCAAGTAAGTTACTTCTCTGAAACTTAATCTTAAAAATGGTATTTTAGAACTTAGTTTTTAATTTTTGATTCTTAGGAGCATTGATTAGGTGAATAATCGTATCTCTTTTTAAGGCATGTTATGGATTTCAAATGCTAATGATTGGCCCTGAAACTTTTCATTTCCAGGCAAGGTTGCTCCCACACCCTCTACTATCAAGTTGATATCAACTTATGGTGACCCCATAGGATGGAATAGAGTTGCCTCTTTGTGTTGCTGAGGCAGTAAATCTTTTATGAGAGCAGCCCAAATAGTAACTCACCACGTCACCAAGACTGTTGGACCTAGTTAAACACCCAGTGATAACATTTTCCTTACAGCTAGAACATACACCTAACTGGGAAGGAATTGGTTTTTTTACTCTAATTCAGAGGTCAAATTGTTTCACAGTGTTTGAGAGTCTGGGTATTTGGACTGTGCTTACCACCAGGCCTTCTGACTTGGAGCTGGTCACTATTTGGCCCAGCTTGGTAGCCATCAGTGTTTATCTCTTTTCAAAACAATGAATGGTCACTTTTTGAAATTAATCAAACCTAAATCAGATGATCAATTATTTGGATTGTCGCTAGTGATACTTTTCAGGAATAAATTATGTAATACTCAGATAACTGCAGCTATACTGGCTGTAGATTTAGATCTAGCGATTTCCCTCACTTTTCTTTTTTTTTTATTAAAAAAGATGTTAATATTTACTTCATTTTAAATGATAAAATATACAACTTTTTCTCATGGTGCTCATTTTATTCTGGCAGTTCTGACAGATAGATATTGTCATGAAAAAGAGGAGATAATGTCTTTGTAAGATCTTAGTGGTGTTCATAAGCATGGAGATTATGCAATGGAGGACTTTGACAGTTATGCAGAAAGATTTACATATTAAATATATACAAGGGTAAGTCAAAAAGCATTGCTACTAGGATTCAAATCTTATATGCACGAGCTTATTCCAAACAAAGGTTGCTGGGCACTGAGCTAGGCACCATGACTATGAAGAGCTGATCTAGTATCTATCTTGTGGGGAAGTGGTATATATTATATTACTAAAGGCTTATCTAGTATATCTCTTGTGGGGAAGTAGTACATACGTGTATTACTAGAGACTTGTGGCACAGAAGGTGAAGGAAAAGAGGTGGGGTGGGGAAAACTCTAAATAGGGTAGCCCCAGAACTGGTGGCCATTTGTCACACATTTTTGCTGCTATCGGATTATGGGGCTTTATCTTGCTTTCTCAGTGTTCTCATCTATTAGATGAAAATTTAAAGGATGACTATTTTGAGGAAATCATAGAAGAATATGAAGATATTCGGCAGGAACATTATGAGTCTCTAAAGGTAAGTGAAAGAAACAAGTCTCTGCTCGATTGGGTAAAACAGTAAAGTTAATTTTTGTTAAGACTTCATTGCTGTTTTGGGGAGGGTAAAGGATAAGGAAACTTTTAGAGAAGCTTTTTTTTTTTTTTTTAAGCATTGATCAGAGTTTTTTAATGTCTAAGCTTACAATGCTTTTGGTTGTAATTAGATTTATTCAGCCAAACATTTCTTGGGTACTCTGTGGGTGTTAGCTGCTGTACTAGATATCAGAGTTATGCTGTTAAATAAAACATGAGCACCTACTCAGCAGGAAAATTGGAACTTAAAACACTAAAATGAGTCTCATGGCCCTTGTTCCTGAGGAAATAATGAAAGAAAATGAAAACATTACACAGGACCATTTTAAGTTTTCCCTTCTGAGCTGCCCACACTGTGTTAGGACTTGTCCCGTCCCTCTAGATGAGCTTCAGGGATTCAAGAGTAACATAAGAGTAACATTCAAGAGTATCAGTCTTTAGAAGTCAGGTAGAGATAACGATTGCTAAAGACAAAATGGGTACATAAGCAGATCTGGTGAAGAAAGCTAATGGTGCCTGGCTATTACAAGATAGAGCATCTGGGGTCTTAAAGGGTTTGGTGCAGGGAAGCACCAAAGCCCACATAGAAGAAGCACACCAGCCTGTGTTATCATGAGGTGTCAACAGTATCAAGTATCAGGCATTAGAAGATCCAAAACAATCGAGAATGAGGGGGGTTGGAACAGAGATACAAGCCCATCTGTAAAAAATTGGACTTCCCCTCACAGAAGGGTCACAGGAAGGGACAAGTCAGCCAAGGTGCAGCATAGGACTGATGAAACACACAACATTCCTCTAGTTCTTGAATGCTTGCCGCCCCGCCCCCGGGCCCCCCACCACCACCACCACCACCACCACCACTATCATGACCCTAGCTCTGCCTTACAAATCTAGTTAGACCAGAACATGTATACTAATAGCTCTCAACACACAGAACCAGGACAGATAAACCTCTCAGGAACAGTAATGAGAGTAGTGACACCATGAGGGTAGGGGGAGGTGGGGGGAGAAAGGGGGAACCGATCACAATGATCAATATAAACACCCCCCATGCCCTCCCACCTCTGAGGGGGACAAACAACAGAAACATGGTGAAGGGAGACAGTGGACAGTGTAAGATATGAAAATAATTTATAAAGTCTTTACAGGGGTGAGGGAGGGAGGAAAAAGATGATACCAAGGGCTCAAGTAGAAATAAAATGTTTTGAAAATGATGATGGCAGTAAATGTTCTTGATACAATTGATGTATGGATTGTTATAAGATCTATAAGAGCACCTAATAAAATGATATTTTAATTAAAGAAAGAAGAAGTAATTGGTTAGAAATCTTCCAGGTTGCCTGCTGGGCTTTTGAGGGCAGGGCATATTGGGATATTATTTGGCAATTGAAATGAAATAATGGACAACATAAAGAAAATAAACATTTCAAAGGTGCTGACAAGACATTATATTATCTTTATTATCTCTTTAGTTTTTCCCCATAATTAATGATTTCTTATTAGATCTGCCTTGTGGTTCCTGAAGGGCGTCTATATGGCAGATTATTACTACTTGAGCTGCTTCTTATCTCACAATTTGGGATATCCAGTCAGCAACATGTTTATATGTCAATATTGATTGCATGGATGCTTCTTGAAACTGTGTATTATTCTGGTTCTGATATGAAACATAGTTGAAGAAGAAAGACATCAATATTAATAAAACATTTGTTTTCTTTAATAACTTTTAATTTAATACTGACTTACTTTAACAAATTTTCATAGTAGTAGTTGAAAGCCATGGAAGTTCTAATTAAAAATTTTTTTTTTTTAAGGGAAGGAGATACTTACCTTTAAGTCAAGCCAGAAAAAATCGCGTCTATATTGACTGGCTCACAGAGCCTCACCCAGGTCTGTTCAGCTGCTGGTTCGAGAAAAGCAGTAACTGACTGATGTCCAAATGATTTGTGCACTTGATTATGTTTCAAAGTTTTGGTGGTGAAGCCTCCTAGAAACCAGAAACTAGCGGATAAGCATACTCAAGTATATAGTTTTCCATTTTTATAATATTTTTTCAGCGAGGTATTTCTGCCTGCCTTTCTAGGCAAGAATTAACTTGCATCAAGCTATCTGGACTATTTTCTCTACTAAGGAGATTATACTAACTTTGCCACCCCGAAAACCAGCATAAAAGAATATTTATAAAGGATTGTTTTGTGTAGTAAAAAGATGGCAAAGGACATGTGGGAAGAGAATGAACATATTTAAAAGAAGGTTCAGGCAAAAATTATAAGCTGTTTACACCTTTATGTACCCACACATCTGACTTTACCTCAATGAAAGAAACACCTTTGAAGCCACAGTACTCAAAACTACACATGTAAGGTGCTCTCTGATTCCTGATCTGAACTCAGATCAGGACACTGAGATCATGAGCAATATAAAGTACTAGGTACCGTCTGATCTGACTTGAGCCCCTCATGCCTTTGGCCCAGCTCATATCTCATCCCAGTGTCCAGAGAAAGCCCAGCTTCACTTGAAATCTATCTTGGAAATTTGTCCTGATATTTAAAATGAACTCAAGAAGAAGTATAAAGAATAGTCTACCCAGTAGCCAGGTTAAGAATTAATCTAGCATTGATTTAAAGAATAAATTATACACATGTAGTGGGAAAATCCTATATGTTCCTCCTTAATCCCATCTCTCTCCTCCCCGGTGGAAATAAGCAAATTTGAGGCTTCATTTCCATGTCTCATTGTACTAGGTGCTTATAGAACAGTAGACAACTAGGGTATTGTTTCATGTCTTTACATTTTAAATAGATTCCTTAGTGTTTATTCCTTTCTAAAATGTCCTTTACATTGTTATTTTCTTAATTTATACCAAAGAAGATTAATCCCAGCTGTTTCTATTTTATTTTATTTGTCCCTTGGGAGGAAGTTGGAGACAGATGATTTGAGAAAGAGGTTCCCAAAGGCTGGTGTAATCAACTGTATGCAATGAATAAGTCTACTAAGACTCAATGCAGAATTACTCCTTTACTGAAATCATTTAAAATTGTCCTTTTTTAGTGCAAGCCCAAACCCATTCCTGGATCTATGTTTTGTTGTTGTTTGTTTTTTATCTGCCTTTGGATCCTGTGTTAGTCTGGGTAGACTAGAGAAACAAATCCACAGAAACTCATAAGAGAGTTTTTTATATAGGGTAAGTGTACATTCAGAAAGCATGCCAACCCATATGTCCAACACCGATCTACAAAGTCCTCAATCTCACAAAACAAACGCAATGATGCCAACTGCAGGAGGAAAGCCAAATCACTCATCATGTAAGCATCTCAGCGCTGGCAGGGGTCTCCACACAGCTGCTCCAGCACCAAGGGCTGCATCAGGGTAGGTCCATGCAGTTTCTCCTTGAGGATGTCTTGCAGGAAGTGAGCCTTGCCAGCTGAAGCAGGGAACTGGTTAAGGCAGCTGCACCCTGGTCTGACCACCAGAGAACAAGAGACTAAAGAACTATAAAGGCGAGGCTCACCAAGCCATTTATCTCTCTGCCCTTCGATTAATCCCACATGTGTTTATTGGCCAGGTTGGCACAATAAACTTTAACTATCTCAGCTCCCTTTCAAAACCTCCTTGTTAATGTACGTTAGTCTTTTTTGGAGGGTATGGGGGCTGGTAGAGAGTCTTTATCACTCATCCTGTTGGGCCATTATGATCTTCCTTAAATATTGTCTTTGATTAGCACTAAATCTTAGCTCCAAATTAAGAACATTAGTTCTTACATCATGGCCCTGCTCGATACTTTTAGGAAGAGAACACAGAAGATAATGGGTGCTATAGAAAAATGTGGTGAAGAAATTAGATGGTGCCCGGATATTAGATAAAACAGTGCCTGGGCCCTTAAAAGCTTGTCTCCAAACAAGCAGCCATCTAAGTGAGACGTCAACTAAGTCCACATGGAAGAAGCACACCATCATCAGTCATCGAAGTGTTGTAAATCATATAATCCAAAGTCGAAGGAGGGATTAATATCAAAGCCTAAAGTGTGAGAAGGCTATGGATGACAGTGGGAGCCCAAGATTCATTTTGGGGAACTATATAGGAAATAAGCCTCTGGTGAATGCCCTCTATCCACAACTGAGGGATGGGAGGAAAGTCATTACTAAACAGTGCATTAGAGAGATGAATATAGAAGATCAAAGGCATAGATCTGACTTCAACAATTAACACCTTGTCAGTTGATCCCCTCTCTGATGCATGCTGAACCCAATCTGGTTTTCAACATTTTCTGTGTTTTTGTTTGTTCATATTTGGGTCTATCTCAGAGGTGTTATGTCATTGGAGGTAACCCTCTTGAAGTTGTATTAAATGTTTTTCTGTTTTTCGGTATATGAGACTCAGGATTGATGAGCCTATAAGGACAATAAGTACAATAAGGGATTCCGCGACTGGGGTCGCAGCGCATGGTAAAGGGAGAAGATACCAAGGAGTTCAAGAAAATGATTGTTTGGAAACTGATTATGGTAGCAATTGTACAATTCTGCCTGATGTGATTGAAGTATGGAATGATATGTATTAACTCCCAGTTAACAAAATCTTAAAAATAATAAAATTATTTTTTTGAAACAAATATGTGTGAGAGGAGTGAGACTGTGTGGGAGTCTCTGAGGCATCTGAGGAGCTGAAGCGAGGCCTCTAGTATATAGTAGCTGGGTAGGAGGCTGCTCAGCACCAAGTCCAGGCATTACTTTAACAACTGGTGTTTCTTTCCTTTAGTGAAGCCCACATTTTTCGGGACACGAGTCTTTGAAAACTATGACCTACAGAAGGTGGTGGACTACATCGACTGGAAACCATTTTTTGATGTCTGGCAACTCCGTGGAAAATACCCCAACCGAGGTTTCCCCAAGATTTTTAATGATAAGACCGTAGGTTAGTTCAGTAAGTTCTTACTACCACTGATATTCAAGATGGAATTTTAAGACACTGAAGTTAAGAATTAGTGATGAGCAGTGGGTTTTGCATGATGCAGGATAGCGCTGCTTTCATATAATTTTACCTGTTCCGTTTTTAAATGGTTTTTAAGCTGCTAGAACTTGACATCTTGTTAATTCCTTCTTCAGGTAAAAATCTATTTTCAGCAGTTATGTGCTAGGCTCAGTGCTAGATACTAGGGGTAAACAAAAGCATTCATTATGATTCCTGCTTTCTAATAATTAACTGCTAAGTGCCTAAGAGTTAAAACAGGTTCTAACCCTATCCCCAAAACCCTCTCCCAGAGACATGGGAGTCAAGCTGTTCAAAACATTAAGCAGTAGTATATATAAGTGTAAGGTGGAGAACAGACAAGTCAAATTAAGGAATTGGGGTTGAGAAGAGGCTGAGCAACTGTGTTCTCATGTTTTTTTTAAGGGGCTCATTTTGTGCTTCCTAGGATTTAAGAAGTTGAGGTTCTCAAGGCAGCCAGTAGTGCAGCGTTTACGGGGGGAGAGTAGTTCCTTGATGGCCAACTACAAATGTGTACAGGCCATACCCTTGACCAAAGGACCGTTGGTTCCCTAGTGAGATGGAAAATGAGGGGCACATTGTGAGCGTTCAGACCCCCTGTGCAAATGGAACTTACCTGGCAGCAACTTTGAGCAGAGGCTTTCTGGTAGTATAGTAGTATCAAAGTGACTTCAAAGGGTGGATTTGACCTGTTTGATATCCACCAAGGTCACTGTGTAGTCACTGGAACTGTATGTGCACAAAGAGTGTCTGTGACAGGAATCTGGCCTGCCTTTTCTCTGATTAGCTGCTTTGGGAGCCACAGATTTGGCGCTCTGCTTTGTGTTAAGTGGTAAGTTTAAGTAGCTTCAGCTTGAGAAATAGACTCCTGGAGCCGCACTTACAGGAACTGCTGAGCCCCAGCTCCTCGAAAAAAGGCAGGTGGCTGAGAACATGTTTGAGAGGAAATGGGGCAAAGAGAAAAAGATTAATTGCAGGTAAGGGGAAATGGTTACTGCTTATTTTGGGCATTTTAAAATGATTCTTAATATATTTTCCTTATAGGTGAAGAGGCCAAAAAAGTCTATGATGATGCCCAAAGTATGCTGAAAGCCTTGATTAGTCAAAAGAAACTCCAAGCCAGGGGTGTGATTGGGTTCTGGCCAGCACAGAGTGTCCAGGACGACATCTGTGTGTACTCAGAGGATGCAGTGCCGCAGACTGCAAATCCCATAGCCACCTTCCATGGTCTACGGCAGCAGGTACAGTAAACGGCCTTAACAGCCAACATGTTGGTTTTTTATTTAAGCACAAAACGACGTGTAGATAAGAAGTGAGCAATCAAGAGAGCCCAGCTTTAGTTAGGTGTAAGCGAAAAGGAGCCAGCCTAGTTGGCAGAGGCAGCTTCTTGGCACCAGCAAAAGTTGAGGTGTTTATTTTGTGTCGACCGTTGGATAAGAAACTCTGTTCCTACGTCAGGAGGTCACTTGTCTGCAATCTCAGCCTATTTAACAAGTGTTTACTGATTCAAAAGTATTGATTTTCATGTGTGAGTTACAAAAATTGGCCATCATCTAGTGGCTCCCTTTCTCCAGGGGAAGATGGAGGACCTACCATTTAGTGCTTGCCAGGTGCTGAATTGGTTACCTTGTTTAGCCACACAGAAGATGAAAGAAAAAGCCAGTGGAGCTTTCCCAGAGTCCAATGTATTGGGGAGACACAGCCCGTCTCACCATGGCTGTTCTGCACCGGCTTCCTCAGGGTGGGAAAAAGCAACACAGATCTCTCCCCTGTGCCCTCACTCAAATAAAGTGAAAATCTTATATGGGTATCCCTACAGTGACTAAAAAGCCATTGACCTAGTCAAGATTGGAATTTATCAGAGTCATTAGCAAAGTGTTGCAGTAAATTATTTTTGCAAAGTTTTTTTTAATTGCTTGGTAAATTTTAAGAAATCACAACTTCAGTCTGATTCAAAATGACTTCTCTTCCTGCCTGAGCTGTCTGGAAACTTGGCTCTCTGAAGAATGTTGCTTATGTGCTCTGCTGCTTTTGTCACAGAATTTGAACTCCAGTTGAAAGCTGAACTCCTCCCAATCTAGATATTTAACCTTAATGAGATCTGCAGGGATTCTTAAATCTGAGACTAAACAGATGCCACTGAGTTAAACAAGTGCAGCTTTACTGCTTGCACCAGTCCTCAGACAAAGGATACAAGGTAGTAGAGCCCTGATGTAGGAAGACCTTTCCTCCTTCCTAGGGAATTGGCGACTTTCTTTTAGAGATATAACTAAGGTAAAAAATCTGCTGACACAGTCTTTCATCATTTAATTTCTGTGTCTTCCTCCTATCTCTTTATTTCCAACATCATTCTTGTTCCAGATCAGCCTGTGAGGTATTGAATATGACACTGGTGTAGTGAATTCCCTGACTTCCCAGAGTTCACCTTTTTAAAAGAAACTCTGCAAAGACCATATTCATGTGTTCCCTACATATATCTAAAGAGGTCCTTCCCTTCAGTACACTCTGGAAAGCCTACTGGGACTCTTCTGTACAGGCACCGACTGCTGTCCTTTCTGAAGGATTGTGGATCTCTGTGACCTGTCCCAGAAAGACTCTGTGGCCCTACACTGCCTTTTGTTACCTAAGCAGAACCAGGATGTGATCCCTCCATGCCAGCTGTCGGCAAGCCTGGGACATTTCTGTGCACCATCATCAACACCTCCTTGCATATAGCCCTTAGCTACTTTCTGCCCAAGGCTGTCCTTGCTTAACAGCTAGAAAATCCCCCAGCAGCCTTTAAGCTGCCCACTTGTTGATTGTGTGGTCATCAGGAACATTGGTTATGATATCTGACCTCTGGACCTGCCACTGTCTGACCTTGAGCTAGTTGATCGAGTTCGTATGCTTCATGTCAGTTAGTTGTAAAATGGAGCAGATAGTATCACTGCACAAAGTGTTGGAGTGGATTTGGCTAGTTAATTTATATAGTGCCTGTCAGGTCGTAAGCACTCAGAAATTATTATTAGCTGTTAATCTTCTTAGCCCATATTTGTTTATTTTAAAATGTGAGACCTTGTCAGAAGATTTAAATGTCAGCTTGCTGCTGTTGCTTGCTATTGGGCTAGTTCCAACACATAGTGGCCATGTTGGCAACAAAATGAAACATTTCCCAGTCCTACACCATAATGACAATCAGTGATATGTGTGAGCCCATTGTTGCAACCACTGTGTCAATCCATAGTGTTAAGGTTCTTCCTCTTTTATGTTGACCCTCTACTTTACTAAACATGTCATTCTCCAGGGACTAAGCCCTCCTGCTTAAATGCCCAAAGTGTATGAGACATCAGCTTAGCAAGGAAACATTAGCCATCAGTTGAAAATGGATATGGGTTAACCAGATATCTAACCCTATAGGGAGTCTCACAAGCAAACACTGCTGAGTGCTTAATTTGATTTCCAGTGGCCCTGGGGCACCCTTCATCACTTCCTCCCCTCTTTAACTGTAGCTGGCAGCAATGGTTTTTATGTTGCTGCCTCTAGAGTTTACTAAATTCCGGTTGATCAGAAGCGGATGCCTGAACATAATATCAGGAGGTTAAAGGATCAGCAAATAAAAGGAAAACCCTCAATGCGATAGATTGTCTCAGTGGTTGCAAGAGTGGGCCCAAAGAGCAAATATATGGGGATGGAGCAAGACTAGTTATTTTGTTCTGTTGCACACAGGATTGCTGTGAGTCAGAACTGACTCAACATAACCTATTAACACCACATTTCATGGGCACCTTCAAACCTAACTCCAGGGTGGAGCGTTGATAGTGAATTGAAAACATTTGGGGGAAATTTCAGTTTTCTCAATAGCTTCATTTGCATATAATACACATATCATACAAGTAGAATGTTTTCTTCTTTCTTGTAATCATTGATGTTCCCCATTTTCTCCCAAGCTCCTCTGTCATACTCCTCAAAACCAAATTCACTATCATTGAGTCAATGTTGACTCATGGCGACCCTATAAGACAAGGTAGAACTGCCCCTATGGGTTTTCAAGGCTGTAGCTCTTTATGGGAGTAGAAAGCCCTGTCTTTCTCCCTTGGATTGGCTAGTGGTTTTCAGTTGATCACCTTGCAGTTAGCAGTCCAACACATAACACTGTACCACCAGGGCTCTTAGGTAATTATTATTCCAGCTGCTGTCTCTATAGATTTACCTATCCTGGATTTTGTAAGCAGAAACTCATACAAGACAAAAGAAAAAGAAACAGAAAAAAACAGCAAGAATGACAAAACAAAAGAGAAAAACCTCAGTCAAAAAAACCCCGAAAAATATTAACTGAAACAGCCTAAAAATGAGCCAAAAAGGCGATCATATGGTAAACTCAAAACTGCCATGGAGTTGATGTTGACTCATAATGACCCTATAGGACCAGGTAGACCTGTTCATATCGGTTTCCTGGATTGTAACACTTTACTGGAGTAAAAAGCCCTGCCTTTTTCCCTTGGAGCAACTGTTTCTTTATACTGCTGACCTTGAGGGTCGTCATCCCAATGCATACCACTATGCCACCAGGTCTCCTATCAGACAATATGATGATACATTTGAGACTAGCTTCATTATCTATAATACGTTTTACAATGTTCTCTAATAGCAAGGCTACCCACATTCCTGGGCTATGAACGGAGAGGATTCACCAGAGGCTTGATCCCTACGGGTTTACCTTGCTGTTGAATTTTGGCCTTCTGCTGTCACCCAACGCCTTCTGCAAACTGGTTGCTCACAATTTATTTATTTATTTTTAAAATCATTTTATTGGGGACCCATACAACTCTTACCACAATCCATACATACATCAGTTGTATAAAGCACATTTGTACATTTGTTAGCCTCATCATTCTCAAAACAATTGCTCTCCATGTAAGCCCCTGGCATCAGGTCCTCATTTTCCCCCCTGCCCGCTACCCTTCCCTCATGAGCCCTTGATAATTTATAAATTATTATTTTGTCATATCTTACACTGTCCAACATCTCCCTTCACCCACTCTTCTGTTGTCCATCCCCCAGGGAGGAGGTTATATGTAGATCCCAGTAATCAGTTGCCCCTTTTTATCCCACCCTCCCTCCATAGGTTGTTCATAATTTAAGCTCTGATGTCATTCCTTCAAATTTAAATTATATTCTTTGCAGTACTTAGATCACACAGGCTAGTATGCTTCTTCATACAAATACAGTTGCCACCTCCATTAGCTAGCTAGCTGCTTGTTTGAAGACAAGCTTTTAATACCTCAGATGCTATTATTTCAGATAACTGTATACCATCTGGTTTCTTTAACACATTTTGCTACATCATCCGTATCTTCAGTGATCTCTTCATGAGGGTGAATATTGAGTAGGGCTATGATTAAGTGAAAGCCCAAAATCTGTTCATATATCTATGGTTCATATGTGTCTGTGGTTCAATTTAGAGACATCATTATTACTTCAATAGGACATAAGGTAGTTCTCTTAATGGTATCATTAATTTAGCCAATGGTATAATATTTAAAACACTGTTGAGAGAAGGAAATTATATGTGTGTAGTCCAGACAATAATACATAAATTGTTGATGTATACACATTAAAAGATTTAATGATTAGACACTCTTTCTAAGAATAGTGAGGGATAGGGCAAAACTTCCATTAACACTCACTCACAAAGGCAGAACCATGCCTGCCAGACTAATATATGTCTGGGAGAAAGCAAAGAGAGCATTGAGATAGTAAATATTTGGTAGGCCCAGGGCACCATTTATTCAGCAGCCTCAAAGCAAGAGATATGAACCAAAGTTCAATAACCAATCCCACAACCTTTGGATAGTAGTCATATGCTTCTTCTCATACCAGGCCTTTTCAGCTTTAAGTCTGAGGGAGTATGTCAGTTCTTTACAGCTAAGGTAAGGTAAATCCCAGTTCACTCAGTGGGGTTTCCATATCAATATTTTCTGGTGTGGCCTATTAAGGATTTGTCACACATGTCTATATTTAGTGCCTATAAAATAATCAGTGGAAGCTTGGCCAATGCATTAATGAGCCAAGTAATGGTTTCCTGACTAAGTTTAGACTCTGAAATCACATTTCATCTGTTTTGTCAATAAATATGTATTAAAATCTCAGTTTTGATCAGGCACTATTCTAAGTGCTTGGACATCACCGTGGAAGGGAAGGGTTTGGCACCCCATCTAGGAAGCCTGGATTCACTTAAACCTATGAAATTGTTCCCTGTGTGTGGTTTGGAGTGTGTCCACATAAATACTGTTCTCTGCCCATTGGTTGGTTTTCAGGCTGAGAAGGACTCTGCCAGCACAGACCCATACCACTGTCTCTCAGATTTCATTGCTCCTCTGGAATCTGGTGTGAGAGACTACCTGGGCCTGTTTGCTGTTGCATGCTTTGGGGTTGAGGAGCTGAGCAAGGCTTATGAGGAAGAGTGTGATGACTACAGCAGCATCATGGTCAAGGCGCTGGGCGACCGACTGGCAGAGGTAAAGTGACACTCTGCACCTGTGCCAGAAGCTAGGTATAGGGGGGGATTATGGACAATGGTGGAATTCCAAATTAGCCATCCCTCAGTAGTTTTTGTTTATGTTTGAGTCAGATGCTGCAGACTTTAACATTACAGACATTTTAAAATCTTCGTATTCCTAAACTGGCTCTTGTACATCATCTTTGGGACAAAGGAAAAACTTCAGCATTGCTATAGTTGGCTGTCATCCTTAGAATGTTGCCATATTTCTTGTACCTCTCTGTTTGTTATGATATGATATTTTCCCAGGGAACCTGAAAGTTAAAAGCATTTTTGTTTCATAGTTCTAATTCTAAACTGCTGTCTTATATAAATTATTCATTGTGCTATGTAGGGACTAGAGGAACCTAAGCCATGAGGTGGTCTTTGCCCCTTTTCCGGAAACAACTAGATAGGAACTGTCAGTTGTAAAGGTTTCATCTTTTCTCTATGGTCAGCACAAGCTGCAGACAGATGGGAAAAGTCTTACTCTAAGAGGCCTGGCACCTCTTATCCTGAAGTGTGATCCTTCAGAACCCACGTGTAGACCAACATAGAGCAGAAGGAGTTGAGAAGCGAGCCTGTATATCTCTTTGTTTATGTTTTCCCTAGCTGTGGTCCAGAAGAAAGGGCTGCTCCCCCTGGTGTTGGGTTTCTGTGCAGAAGGAGGATGGGTTACGGTTATGGCCCTCCCTCTGACTAAACACACTTGTTGCTTTGGCTCCGTAGGCCTTTGCAGAAGAACTCCACGAGAGGGTCCGCAAAGAGCTGTGGGCGTACTATGTCAACGAGCAGTTGGATGTTGCTGGCCTGAGGAGACAGTGCTACAAGGGTATCCGGCCTGCACCAGGCTACCCAAGCCAGCCTGACCACACTGAAAAACTCACAATGTGGACACTTGCTGACATCGAGTCCTCAACAGGTATGATGGGCTCCAGGACTGAGGGATGCTTCTTTTTATTTCATTTTTTAAAAGATCATTTTATTGGGGGCTCTTACACCTCTTATAACCATTCATACATCAACTGTATCATGCATATTTGTACATGTTGCCATCATTATTTTCTAAACATTTTTCTATTTGATATCAGCTCCTCTTTTTCTCTCCCTCCTCTACCCTCCCACCCTCTGAACCCTTGATAAATTATAAATTATTATTATTTTCATATCTTATACCAATCACTGTCTCCCCCCATGGTTTCTGTTCGTTCCCCTGATGGGCTTTGGGGTGGGGAGTAGGGCGATGATTATCTGTTGATAACTGTTCCCCCTCTCTCCCCACCTTACCACTACCCTCCTGATATCGCTACTCCCATTCTTGAAGGGTTTCACTGACCTGGACTCCATATGTCCTGAGCTCTTTTCTGTATTAGTGTACTTGTTCCAGTTTAGCCCAAAATGAAAGTCGACTGAGGTCACGATAGTGGGATTTGAGGAAACCTCAAGGAACCAGAGAAATATTGTGTGTTTCATCAGTGCTATACTGTGCCCTGGTTGACTCATCCCTTCCTTGTAACCCTTCTATGAGAGGATGTCCCATTGTCTACAAAAGGGTCTTGGGTCTTGTGTTAATCTGGGTTGACTAGAGAAATCCAGAGACATTCATATGTGTATAAGAGAGAACTTTATATCAAAGGGTATTTGTACATTAAGAATACAATCCAGTGCAGGTCAAGTCCATAAGTCCGATGTTAGCCTATATGTCCGATACCAATCTATAAAGTCCTCTAAATTAGACTCACAAAACACATCCAATGACTCCAAACACAGGAGATCACAGACCTCCTGTGTTTGGTGTGAAGTCTTGTGGATCGAGTGGCGTTGTAAACATTTCAGCATTGAGAGGGTTCTCCACATGGCTCCTCCAGCTCAGGATGCTAGCATAGTTCCATGTGTCTTGTCAGCTGCAATGACTCACAGGGAGTGAGTGTGTGCCCGAGCTCCAACGAGCTATTTATCTCCTGAGCACCTCCAAATGAGGTCATCAAGCTAAGATTGATTGACAGGCTAGACCCCACCCCTTCACTTTTAATTCTCTCAATTTGACAACAGATTATGTAACTGCCGGAGTGCTCTGCTTCAACCCCCCCTCATTCTCAACAATATGTTTTTTTGTTTGTTTGTTTGTTTTAGATCTTCTGATGCCTGTTACTTGATCCCATTGACTGCTCACGATCGCACTTCTGGTGTGGGCTTGTTTCTCTGCTAGATGGCTGCTTGTTTATCTTCAGGCCTTTAAGACCCCAGACACCATATATTTTGATAACAGGGCATCTTTCCACCACATTTGCTGTATACCCATTTTGTCTTCAGAGATCATGCAGGGAAGGTGAGCATCACAGAATGCCAGGTTGTTAGAACCAAGTGTCATTTCATTGAGGGAGGACTTGAGCAGAGACCCAAAGTTCATCTAATACCTCAGTGTATTGCCATACACACACACACACACACACACACACACACAATATATAGGCCAATACCTTGTAGTGTTATCAAAATAATGACAATCAAAAATGCAGAAGGGGTTAAAATAAGAAGAAATCATCCATTAACTCTTTCTTCCTTTTAGCTATTATGAGATTTCTCTCCATATTTTTAAATAGTGTTCCCTCACCACTATTTCTAGATTTATCCTTTTTAACTATTCTCATTTTACCTGTAATGAATGGGATGTTTGACGTGTATTTCTCCTGCCCTATTTTCCTATTTATCGTTTCATCTGTTATACTCAACATCTTTGTACACTCCTCTTGTAGGGGTACCATCTACTTCAGCTTTCTTTATTGCTGCATTGCCAAAGTTAATATTAGTATCCTCTTTGCCATAATCCTCTTTCATTTTTTGTTAATATAGATTAACTCAAATAGTTGAAAATCCTAAATTGGCACATGTCCTTTTGAAACCTAAATTCTTCTCAGCCCAGAGCAGAATTATGATCTGCCTCCAATAGTGCCAGTTGTTATTCTAACTGCCTAGTTAACGAGTCAGAACCCACTTGATGGCTCCTAACAACAAGAGCAGCAGCAGCAGTTAACATAGATGGAAAGATACAGGAGAAATCCACAATTTTTAGTAGAGTTATTAAAACCTTGCAGTCCAATCTGACGAAGTTTAAATAATCTGGTTTTAAATGAGAGATTGTGAGGCTGTGTTGAGTCTGGTTTATCAGAAATAGCACTAGGAGGATGCATGAGATCTGGGTTAGAGTCCCATTTCAGCCAAAGCTAAGGTGACCTTTGTCAATGCATTTAACCTTTTTATTGCTCTTCTCCACCCTTGCCCATAAAATGAGTAGCTTATAGATTAGGTGGCGTTTACAATCCCTTTTGCTTTTAAATTCCTAAGAAAAAATACCCTTTCCCCCCCCCCCTATATGCTATTGTGGTCTTCCCTAATGTGGTTTCTCATAATCCTTTAGAGAACAGTCAAATGGTGCTCTTATTTCCAGGCATAGAAATTCTGGCATGAGTAGACTTAGAAGCTGATTGGAACCTTTGCAGCTGATCTTGGGGGTAGGGTACCTTTTTCAGGCCTCTGCTTCCCCTCTTCCCCTCCTTCCCTTGATTAGAGAAGAGCTGCATGCCCTGAATTTGGTTATCACCTTGCCAGGAATTTGCTTGAGCAGTCTGCTGACAAATTTCTTGCTATCGCATGTGTCCATATAAGGTCTGCGTTTGTGACAAAGCCAGGCACTTTGTGAGTACTAAAGACTGCACCTTTTCTCCATGTCTCTCTTCTAGGCATTAGGTTAACAGAATCGCTAGCAATGGCCCCTGCCTCAGCAGTATCAGGCCTTTATTTCTCCAATTTGAAGTCCAAATATTTTGCTGTGGGAAAGATTTCCAAGGATCAGGTAAGGTAGCTATTGCACTACATGGGGCTTACCTAGGTACTGTCTTGTTCTCAACAAAACACTGAAATCTGTATTAATTTAAACGTGAATAAAAAGCATATGAAGAACAAACAATAAATAAAAGAAGAATATCCGGAGGATAGGATCCAGAAATTTACCCATTTAAGTCTCATAATTCCTCCTCCACTATCACTACACCAAGCCTCACTTACATCCAGCCAATTTTAAGCATTTCGCTTTTCGGTTCACAAATGATTCTATCACCATTTAACTCGGTAGATTGCTGTTAAGACAAGAAATGAAATGCACTCAAAATTTCTTGATAAATTCTGTAGAAAAATCATAACCACATTTGATGTAATGAGCTGCTTCTCATCTTTTGCAGGTTGAGGATTATGCTTTAAGGAAGAACATGTCTGTGGAAGAGGTTGAAAAATGGCTTGGACCTATTTTGGGATATGATACAGACTAACTTGATTTTTACCTTTTCTACACTTTGCAGTCCTTAAGGAAACATAACCCTGAGTGCCTTAAAAATAACAACAGTTTACCCAGCCATAGGTGCCTCACATCTAAATGGCTTCAGGTTTCAGAGGACTAACCTGGTAGCACACTGTTAGCTTGAGTGCTAGGGAACTAGCTAGCTGCCAAAGTACTCTGCAGGAGTCCCTGATCTCTCAGGACAGGGACAGGATGGAAGTGGAGGTCTTTCACATTTCAAAGCAAGTCAGCTTGATTTTTTTACACCCCATCTTTACTTTGGATTCAGTCTTCTTAGAAAAAAAGGCTGCTGATGCTAAGTTGAATAGAGAAATATGGTTGCCTGACAAAATGATGTTTGAGAAATTATGCTGTTTTAGACTGACGTGGAAGAAAGTATAACTGTTGTCTCTCCAGAAGACCTTGTTGTCTAAAAGTTCAATTAAATAGTTGTAATACCCCCTTTATCAAAAGTAATTTTGTAAAATTTATTTATTTACCATCATTTTATTTATTTTATTAGCATGTAATTCGTGTACCACATAACTCAGTGGTTTAAATAGGTTTAAAAGCCATGTTCTTATAGTTCGCTTGTCAGAAATTCTTGAAATGTTTGCCCCAGTATGGTTAAGTGTAGTGATTTTATGGAAGAAACTTTGTCCCATAATTTCATATACCCTTGATGCCCCAAAGAAGATGAGGTAAGAGAGTGGCAGAATCCTCTCTGCTGTGCACTGGCAATGACTATTTTTCTGCTGTTTGCCACAATTGAGCAGACAAACAAATTGAGTGTCCTGCACAGAGATGGACAGGTGAGTGGTGGGATGCCACTCTATTCAAGAGGCAGTAGGCGGATGTACGGACAAAATACTGAGTGGGGCCTGGTCCCTGTCCTGCAGGACTGCCCTGAGTACACACCCAGTTCATTCCTACTTTTGATCCACAAGCTCTCCTTCTCCCTACTTTTACATTTCTTAGACTAAGATCATCACTAAATATGAGGTCCTACTTTTTGTGCGCTACTCCAATGGCGCACTCATGCAATTTAGAAGTAGTAGGTTGATGTGTTATCAGTTATTTCAGGGGGAATGCTTAGTCCGGGCATAGCTTTGCCATGACTTGGGCAGATTAAAATCTGCCACATTCAGACCTCACCTTTGTGAACAGGGATAACAATACCCATGCCTTGTGTGCATGAGATATGCAGTTGAAATTAAATGATGACTATGAAGCCCCTCCAGAGCTCAGCACAGAGTAGGTACTCAGGAAAAAAATTAATGGAGGTAAATGCTGAAAGGATACTGAATTTAGCATTTCAGACACTCTGTTTTTAAAACTTGATTTAATATCAACTAGGAAGGAGAGAAGGTACATAGGTTACACATTGGGATGCTAGCTATAAGGTTGGTGGTTCAAATCCACCAGCCATTTCATGGGAGAATGAGGCTATCTGCTCCCATAAAGATTTACAGTCTCAGAAACTCTGTCCTATAGCGTCCTTACTACTCAAAATCTACAGCAATGGGTAAGTGGGGAAGGAGGAACCATTGCTACTCATTTTTCTGTGGGACAAATCCCTTCACATGATACACGGGCCTTGCCCTAGTAATAGCTCTATCAAATAGTCACCATGTACATTGAAAGTGAAAAGGGGCGTGAACCTCTAGAAAAATACATATCCATCTCATACTCAGTTTCACTTCTAGAGCAGTATACCTGATAGGACATTGCTAGCCAATAAAGTGAATGAACTGTACTATTTATTCTTCACCTAGTCTGCTACTTTGGTTCATGATACACTAGTTGGAGAACTTATTTTCTCTTTCATAGCAGTTATTATTTTAGGCTTCGGTATATTTTTCTGTGAAAAGGGGTAACCTAACAGTATCTTAATATAATTAAAGTTACTAAGAGTTCCTGATTTTATTAAATACTTTCCCTATCTTCTCTCAGCTTGTTGTGTGATTGGGTTCTGTAAATGTGTTGTTGATCTAGTCTAAAAACAAGTCACTCCTTTTTCTTTTTTTTATCATTTTATTAGGGGGTCATACAACGCTTATCACAATCCATACACACATCAGTTGTGTAAAGCACATTTGTACATTCATTGCCCTCATCATTCTCAAAACATTTCCTCTCCACATAAGCCCCATGGAATCAGGCCCTCATTTTTGCCCCTCCCTCCCCACTCCCCCCTCCTTCATGAACCCTTGATAATTTATAAATTATTATTTTGTCATATCTTGTCCTGTCCCATGTCTCCCCTCACCCACTCTTTTGTTTTGTCCATCCCCCAGGGAGGAGGTCACATGTAGATCCTTGTAATCGGTTCCCCCTTTCCAACCATTCCTCCCTTCACCCTCCCAGTATCGCAACTCCCTCCACTGGTCCTGAAGGGATCATCAGCCCTGGATTCCCTGTCTTTCTAGTTCCCATTTTCACTATTGTGCATCCTCTGGTCTAGCCAGATTTGTAAGGTAGAATTGGGATCATGATAGTGGGGTAGGAGGAAGCATTTAGGAACTAGAGAAAAGTTGTACATTTCATCATTGCTAGGTCGCACCCTGACTGGCTTGTCTCTTCCCCCAAACCCCTCTGTAAGGGGATGTGTCCAGTGGCCTACAAATGGGCTTGGGGTCTCCACTCTGCACTTCCCCATCATTGAATATGATATGATTTTTTGTTCTTTGATACCTGATCCCTTCGGCACCTCGTGGCCACACAGGCTGGTGTGCTTCTTCCATGTGGGCTTTGTTGCTTCTGAGCTTGATGGCCGCTTGATTACCTTCAAGCCTTTAAGACCCCAGACACTATACTTTTTGATAGCTGGGCACCATCAGCTTTCTTCGCCACATTTGCTTATGCACCCATTTGTCTTCAGTGATCCGTTCGACACCCCGTGATCACACAGGTTGATATGTTGTTCCATGTGGGCTTTGTTGCTTCTGAGCTAGATGCCCACTTGTTTACCATCAAGCTTTTAAGACCCCAGACGCTATATCTTTTGATAGCCGGGCACCATCAGTTTTCTTCACTACATTTACTTATTCACCCACTTTGTCTTCAGCGGTTGTGTCGGGAAGGTGAGCATCATAGAATGCCAATTTAATAGGAGAAAGTATTCTTGCATTGAGGGAGTACTTGAGTGGAGGCCCAACGTCCATCTGGTACCCTAATACTAAACCTATAAATATAGGCACATAGATCTATTTCCCCATCCTCTTATATAAATATATTTGCATATGTCCATGCCTTTATTTAGACCTCTATAAATGCCCTTTGCCTCCTAGCTTTTCCTAAAGACAGCAAAATATGCAACTATGAGTGCCTTGATGTGTCTTAAAAATATATATAGCATATAACATGAACCCAATAAGCTCATCTGCCACACAGAGGAGGCTTAACGTATGCCAGGAGGGCCAGCAAAACAAAACATTAAAAGTAGGTTGTTGTTAGGTGCCATCACATCAGTTCTGGCTCCTAGCAATACTGCATACAGCAGAACAAAACACTGCCCCGTCCTGTGTCCTTCTCATACCTGTTTTTGTTATACCCCATTGTGGTGCCCTCTATGTCAATCCATCTTGTGAAGGGTCGGCCTCTTTTGCTGCACTGCTACTTTACCAAGTATGATACCTTCTCCGGTGATTACTCTCTCCTGATATCATGTCCAAAGTATGTGAGAAGTCTCACCATCCTGCTTCTCAGTGGCATTCTGGTTGTACTTCTTCCAAGGAAGATGTTATTCTTTAAGCAGTCCATGGTACTTTCAACATGTTCTGCCAGTACTGTAATTCATAAGCAAAGGTTTGGCCAGGGGTGGGGGTGGAATTCCTTATTTAATGTACCAACTTTCACATGCATATGAGGCAATTGAAAATACCATGACTTAGGTCAGGTGCAATGCATCATTTGATATCCTGGCTGTTGCTTCCATCACGTAGATAAACATTATGAACATGGGACTTCTTTGCATTGATGAGTATAAAAGTATATTTAGAATATTTCCTTATCAATATCTCTGAATCTGACATGAATTGACTCACTCTTATCATATATTGTCTGATTAAATATCTCATTTTTTTTCCTTTAACGAAGTAGTCATTCAGAAACTCTCACTTCGCTGCTTGCTCTATTGTTTGAACTAAGAAGGCTTGTTTGTGGGTAGAGATCAGATTTTCTAATACACTTAGCTCTTTTGAGATACTCTTATTCTCCTTCCATTCAGAGCTGAGCTCAACAAATAAGTTAATGCCTGCTGGATGCTAGTTATCTCCTCTTATTCCTTCTGTACCACAGTGAAGTCAGTTTCCTTGTGGTGGTGGTTGTTAGGTGCCATTGAGTCGCTTCCAATCCATAGCAACCCTGTGTGCAACAGAACAAAACACTACATGGTCCTGTGACATCCCCACAATTGTGCTTTTGCCTGTGTCAATCCAATTGTTTGTTGCTGCCAAGTCTACTGTGACGCTTTTGTAAGCTTATGTATAATAGAACAAAATTTGGCCCAGCCCTATGCTATCTCCACAATTGATAGTATAGTCAAGCCCACTATTGTGATCACTGAGTAACTTTCAACTTAGGGGGCTCTTCATATCAGACAATATGTTCTTGTGGTCGTTAAAATTTTCCTTGCTGATTTCTCAAGTAGATTGCCCAGCCTTTCTTCCTCATTTCTCTTAGTCGGGAAGCTCTAAAACCTGCTTACCATGGGTGAGCATGCTGGGATTTGAAACTCCAGTGACCTGTCATCCAGCATCACAGCACAACAGATTTCTTGACCTATTAATGTCCTTTTCATTCAGTTTTCTTCTCTAGGGTTGGGCACTTCTGGCCACTCTTTTCTCAAAACTCTGCTTTTCCTGGTTCTCTCTCGATATCACTTTTTGGTTAACCTAATTTTCTGATCATTTCTTAACTATTTTTATGGGTTTCTTTTTTCTGTTGACTTGACATTGTTATCCAGACAATGTCTTCATCCAGGCTCCTGTGCATGTGTTCTGTAGCTTTGCCCAGGAGTGCATACTAAAACCCAATATCATTGAAGCAATTTGCTCACAGTGACCCTATAGGACAAGTAGAACTGCACCTTTGGGTTTCTGAAACCATAAACTTTTTTAAATGATTAAATACTTTTATTGGGGGCTCTACATCTCATCACAATCCATACATTCATCCATTGTTTCAAGTACATTTGTACATATGTTGCCATCACCATTTTCAAAGCATTTTCTTTCTCCTTGAGGCCTTGATATCAGCTCCTCATTTCCCCCTTCCCTCCCCCACTCATGAACCCTTGATTAGTTATAGATTATTCTTTTTATATCTTATATTGTCCCCTGTCACCTTCACCCACTTTTCTGTTGTTGGTCCCCTGGGAGGGACTTATATGTTGTTCCTTGTGATCAATTCCCACTTTTTCCCCCACCTTCCTCTTATCCTCCTGGTATATCTATTCTCATTGTTGGCCCTGAGGGGTTTGTCTGTCCTGGGTTCCCTGTGTTGCAGGCTCTTATCTGCAGCAATGTACATGTTCTGGTCTAATCCAATTTGTAAGGTAGAATTGAGATCATGATGGTGGGGGGAGGAAACATTAAAGAACTAGACAGAAAGTTATATGTTTCATGGGTGCTAAACTGCACCCTGACTGGCTCATCTCTTCCTGTGACCCTTCTGTAAGGAGATATCCAATTGTCGACAGATGGGCTTTGGGTCACCA